CTCTCCAACTCGTGCAATGTTTAGCGGTATCCAACGTACCAATCAGAGACTGAGAACTCTCTCTCTCTCCAGTTTATTTGTTTTATTCTAAAAAACATCATATTTTTAAATGAATACAAAGAACTGATTCGTTTTCTGACTTTTTTAAAAAACATTATTTAAACATTATAATTTTCAGTAACAACATTAAATTTACATTCTTATTAAATGTTATAAAAACTTTATACATTTGCTTTATATATAATTTGCATATGTAATTAAAAAAATCTGCAAAATACAGGAAGTTGTCATTTCTGCCCATTAAAAAATAAAGTTACTACAATACATATTTTAAAAATAAACTGCAAATTCATAAAATATTCATATTTACATGTTAATACAATCTTCATTTAAAAGAATAAAATACAGGAAAATGCAAGAATATTAAGTAAAATTGCCACTTTTATACAGGATATATAAAATATTTGCTGACAACTCGGGTGCGAGCGATGTGTGGTGTCGTTGACATGTAATGCCTCTGTATTGTAGTTCAATTGAACTGATCTCTAAACTATGTAACCTCAGTGCTAATGGCCCGGTGTGTCGGCTTACCGGCAATCAAATTCCCGTACTCTCCAACTCGTGCAATGTTTAGCGGTATCCAACGTACCAATCAGAGACTGAGAACTCTCTCTCTCTCTCTCTCTCTCCTTACTAAATTTGTAAATTTTGAAAATATCTAGCAATAAATCTATACAATAAAATAAATATATTACAATTAATAATAGAATGCAAAATAAATAATATAAGCTTTACATGTTTATCATAACAGAATATATTTTTTATATCTTACAATTATTTACACTAAATATAACATACACTAGATACTATTGAAATAGATTAAATGTAAATAATTTGCTAACCAATTAAGTACATAATGTAGTTAATATTACATAAAAATATTTATTCAAAATGCACTCTGTGAAATTAATTTAGCAATTGTATTTACAATAATAATATAATATTTCTTAAGTAAGAATTAACAAATTAAATGTTCTAAAATATTGTATTAGTAAATTAAAATCAGCATAACAACATTATTACAACACACTATTAATCACACAACACAATTGTTCATAAATTTAATATGCGGCTTTTAAATCTAAATTATCGTTTAATATCAAAATTATTATTATATTTTTACCGTATATTTGGCATATCATTTAATGGCCTCAGTCTTGGGCCAAATGGCCAGCTATATCAGAAAACACGGTACAAATATTACGGCTATCTTATACAATTATATGTCATTGGATGGGATATATTTGCACTCTACAATAACATCATAACCATGATCATTTTCATAAATGATAATGGTCAAATACCTTCAGTACTCGAAACTATAACGTTTGGTGTAGTGCCCTTACAATTGCTGGGGCTAATCACAAAGACGGTAACTGTACTATTGCTAAATGGTAGCTTTGGATACGACTTGATCAACATGTGTACTGATATGTCCTGGTAATAATTGGACCCTATAGTAGTGATCCACGTGTTAACATTGGCAACAAACTGACCAATGGTATGATATTTTGGTTATTGAATTGCGTGTCAGCCGTCGTAGAACTCGTCGTCTTGTGTCTGGTCTGCGGTTCAGTTCAGCAAAAGGTTAACGAATTGAACGCCGCTTTCGATGCCGTGAATGCAAACGATTTACCCGATTATCCCACATATAAGGAGTGGCTTATGTTACTGACTGTTTTGCGAACAAGTGGTACTCTAGGGTTCACTATTGGAGGGTTTAGTGTACTTAATAAGTCAACGTTAATCGCTGTAAGTAAAATTATAGTATTAAACGTTTATTACATTTAATTTAACATTAATGATAATTTTATTGTTTGTGCTAGATATTTTCATTTATGCTGAACTACACTGTAATTCTGCTGCAAACATCACGATAAAATCATGTTTGATAACACTATTATTGTCTAATTTTAATAAAAAACAATATCAATTAACCAATTTGACATTTCAAGTTAGTTATAAAAAATCAAATATTTTATTTAACGAACAAACTAATATGTAACTTTATTTTATATTAAAAATATAATGATCAAAACAACAAGTATAATGATACAAGTTAGTAAGGATGTACGGTGCCATCATAGCCGATTAGCTTTCCAGAATCATCATCTGTTAGCTTTCTTATCACGTTTAGTATACCTTCAGCACTAGTATCTACAGTAAGAGCACCGTTGGAACCGCCCATATCGGTCTGCACGTGGCCCGGGTGTACGGCCACAGTATTAATACCATATGCGGCCAAATCAACGGACAGGCATTTTGTGATCATATCGAGCGCGGCTTTACTCGTAAAATAAGGGTAAACCATACCTAGTGTGGCCTGGGCTAAGTGTATGTTTGTGATACAACCACCCAGAGATGAAATGTTGGCCACAGTTGTTTTGCGCTTGGTTGCTCCCGATTTCTATATATAGTTATTAATTTTAAACAAATTCATTATTAATCTATTTTATTCATTATTATATTGTTTTGCAATTTTATTAATTTTACTACATATATCTAACTTAGTTTTAATATCATTACCTAGATTTTTATTCAATTAAAATTTCAAAATAATTTTTAATTAAAAAAATGTATATTTAAAAATAAATCAAATAAATAATTTGATTAAATTCTTATAACATACCTTAAGTACTGGCAATAAGGCTTTGGTAAGCATTAGAGGCGCCACTGAATTAACTTCAAAGTTGGTCAGCATATCAGCGGCGGTCACGGCATCCAGTTTTGATGCAATAGCAATGCCGGCGTTATTAATAAGTGTATCCAAACCCCTGTCGCCCACAATATTAGCCACTTGTTTGGCAAAGCCATCAAAACTCTTATAGTCCGTACCGTCCAGTTGTAGGACATGTAGGTTTGAGTGTCGGTCCCGGAGCTCATCCAACGCCGCATTAGTGGCCTGTCGTGTAGTAGCAATCACTTGCTTCGGTCCACCGTTGGGTTTAATTAACAATGCGGTCACTAATCCGAGACCAATGCCACGATTGGCGCCCGTAATCAATACTGATTCAATACTTGTCATTTTACCTAAAATTTTAAAACTATTAACAACTTAATAATTGTATAACAAACAATTTATGTTCAATATTTAAATTTTATTGAGTTATCCAAACAAATTTACAGGTATTTATACTCTGTAATAGTAATTGCACTGGTAAATTCTTGTAGTATAGTTAAATAAACTTAATGTGCACTAACTATAACGCATATAAAAATCGTTAAATAGTAGTGCATATTAGTGCATGTAAAATGCATTTAAATTTAACTTACCACAATTCTTTTACCAATGTAAATCTATAAAGGGTGTCCCAATGATTCAGGACTATTTGATAGCTTATATTCTTTAAACAAATTATCCCTGATTATAACTATTTTCCTTTTCGATTAATAATGGAAATCTAATAGAATTAACTAAATATTAATTTGGTATAATTTAAATTTCATTTAACTGGCGTTTGCTTAACCCTCCCCATGTAGACTGGCCTATTTTTAGGCATTTGCAACTTTAAAAATCAATTAAAAATCAACGGATGAATCTATTGTAAAAATAATTCAGGAATGCCTCAAGAATACTAATATTTAAATATTTGTAAATTTTTAGTGATTAAAATTAATTCAGACTATAATTAAATCAACATTTTAACTATTTTTAGGCCAGTATACGCGTAACGTAAGTTTATTTCTCGTAGAACAACACTATGCTTCTCGCAGAAAGAATCTATTTATAGGCCAGTCTACACGTTACTCGTTGGCCTAATTTTAGGGCCAGTCTACACGCTATAGCATTAAAAATGATAAAATTGAAATACTCATGCGC